TACATCCCCCTTTTAATTTCTACCGTCTCCATCCCCTACCGATACTGGTGCTCGCTATCAGCCCCTTTCTGTCAGCGAGGTTTCTACCCTCTACTTGGCAGTGGTATCTAATAATTAGTCCCTTTCTGTCAGCGAGGTCGTCCCTCCTCTGGCAGTGGTACCTAATACTTCCCCATCTATCGGAGGCATTGGAAACTATTTGGGCGGGAAACTTTTTGGCCTAATTTAGCTCAGAGGCCTCCTAGAGGCATGAGGTTCTTTTACGTGCAGTAAATCTACAACAGGGGACCCACGGCTTAAAGTCCCTCCCGGAGGATTTGTTCCCTGAATTTTTCCGCCCTTAAAAATTCCACGACTTCCGCCGGGTTTGAACCCGCGTACCTTGAGTCATGAGGTGGGAACGTTAACCCTAGACTAGGTAGGCCGCATCTTGCCCTCTTAATACTAGGTGAACATACAACTTAAATCTATTTTTGATGATGGTGATTATAATGATGTAATGACATAGCGACTCTTATTTAATTCTAACAAAAAATTACTAAACTTAAAGACTCCTTACAAACTTTGCAGCCCGGTTTCCTTCGTAATTGAGAGATGGAAACGAAGACTGCAGAGCAACTCATCGCTTTGTTTGATCGGCGTCAAAAACCCAACTCAAACAATGTATACCGAATTCGCTTACAGACGAGTAACACTCAGCACAGTATGCCCCTCTTCTTTCACGCGTGGAATGAAAGTGGTTGGTTTATTCATTAGGCTATTCAGGCTCGTCTCTCCTTCCTTGGCTTCATCAACTTGCGACCCTGTCCGTCCCTCTCTTAGGCAGGTTGGCCCTCCTACCGTAATTTCGGACGTCCAGTGGATCTTGTTCCTTAGTTGTTTATTGTTAGTGTCTTCGGATTACGCTCTGCTTCCACTCGATCAATGAGATTGTTCCAATGTGATACTTTTTTAATTACATGATTTAAATGTTTTATATATTTAGTTAATTTCTAATTAATCTTCTTCGAATTAATCACCACAAAAAGTTTAGATGATTAGCATAAGTTCTGAAGGACATCAGTAACCCTTTATTACTTCCTCTCTCTTGGGCCCAAATGTTCTCCTCAGCGCCAGTTTTCAATCACCTTCAAATCTGTATTCTTTGTCTGTGGCGAGAGATCAAGTCTTACGCTTATACAGAACAACAAGTGTAATTATAATATTGCTACTCTATTTTAATCACTACGTCTGTAGACGGAAGGCAGTAGATTCTGAAATGAATGCAGCTAGCAGCGCCTCGGATGTCATTTGCTCTTAACTTCATCATGGACATGGCTAGTAACTGAACGTTCCCTCATTTTCAAAGGACTGCCTGTAGATCGTCACAAAACACCCCTACAGCCAGACAGAGAGGAGATATCATCGCTACACCTCAATGATGCTTAACAAATCAGTCATTTACTTGTACTAACTCACCAATTTTACAGGAAATATTGCAGTTAGACTTATTCAGTCAGTTGTTCAGAATATAATTCTACAATTCAGTTCGATTCTCAGTTAATCATTCGCGCAATTATTCCGTCTGCTACTCACAAATGCATTTAAATTAATCAGTCTGTGAGGTAGCAATTTTTAGGCTAGTTAATCGGTTAGTTGTTGACTCTGTGAGACTGTATTACAGATGGTAATTTTGCTTGATGATTACTTAATCAGCTAGTGACTTTGTTAATGAGTCACTGAGTCGTTTAATCAACGAAGTCATTTAGTTAATTAAATAATTTTATTTTATCGGTTACTGAGTTAATCACTCGTTGAATCAGTTCCTTAACTGATCAGTCGATGCGTCAGTTGGTTTGCTATTCGGTGACTATAGTCAGTCATTCAGTTAAGTATCTCGGTGAGTCATGCATTTAAGCAGTTTACTTCTTTGCTTGTCAGTCATTCAGTTAAGTATCTCGGTAAGTGAGTCATGCATTTAAGCAGTTTACTTCTTTGCTTCTCAGTCGTTCAGTTAAGTATCTCGGTAAGTGAGTCATACAGTTAAGCAGTTTACTTCGTTGCTTGTCAGTCATCCAGTGAGGGCTCCCCAACTTCCTGGTCACCATCTTTCCATACAGGTTTCCCAATAACAGAAAATATTGAAACACACGGGACGTGTGCGTCGCCTGAAGCCTGCATGACTTCATATACTGCTCAGAGGAGGAGACGCATGGGAATTGGATGATTTGAATCCACCCTCGCTCCGTGGGTGGGAAGGAATACCACGATGGCTGGTCGCACATCGCACAGGACCAAGCTTCGTTCAGATATGCACTGAGCATGAGACCCTACGTTCTGCTGCCTCGAACCCGTTTGAATTTACATTGCAGTTCATATGATAAGTTGAATTAGTTTGGCATTCAGGAAAACATAAAATTGCTACAAGCAGGACAAATGCAGCTAAACAAATAAGGATGCTACGAATTCAAATTCTATATAATTCTAAAATGGTGAAACGTAAGAAGAAAGGTAAAGTTTTGTGTGTGCTAATTAATTAAACACCACGTCATTAAGACATATTTGAGAGCTGAGGTACAGCTCCGTCATTCTTGACCTCAGCACTAGATGGATGTGAGTGGACAGCTTCACGCTCCTGTCACTTTACCCCGGTAGAAAGAGCTCTCGGTATCCATTGGGTAGGAGGATGAGTGGTCCCCACAGCCGGTCCCGACGTTGTGGAGTAGAGAAAAATCCGTGCCGAGAATCGAACCCCGGCCGTCAAGTCAGTTGTCCTTCGTTGTACCGACTTAGCTATCCCGCCTTCTGTCATCCATAATTATGTTAATCGTAACAAAACATAATTATGAATAATAAATTCTAAAATTATATCATAATAAAATTATGGGCAATGAAATATTGGAGAATATTTCAAATTTAAACATTTGTAAACAAAAATTATTAGCTACATAATGAAATTAATACAAGAATAATTAATATCGGGGCATATTATTCAGTTAGAAATGTTGTTATTCATTCTAGTTTCAAATTCATTAATGAGTGATATACGTATATCATGTTATTACTCATGGGGAGATAAATGCACGTCAGTACACAAGAAAATATTAGTAACTAAGGGAGATGAAGGAACTTGGAAATTTATATTAATAACAAGGGAATTCGTGATATTATAAGAGGGCTATTCGGCAAGTAACCTCCGTTCAATTCAGGCAATTAATTTAGGAGCTGGTGAGAGCTCGCGCACGTGAGGTAGCCTCACAAGACTCACGTTTTGTAAACCATCATATAGTTGGTCACCTAGTGCTTGTTCTTGTTTCCACACAGTGCGTTCTGATGTGTCTTGCGATAGATAATCCCGACATCTGCGAAATTCGCGCTGTTTTCCGCTTTCTTCATGCTAAAACGTGGGTGCTTCGGAAATCCGTAGTGAATTATGCGCAGTTTATGGCCCAAATATAATGAGTGAAGGAACTGTAAGACAAGGGTGTAGAATGTTGAAAGATGTGAACAGATGTTCACGATGAAGAGCGAAGTGGTCGGCCGGACATCTGTAGTGAGTGATGACCAAAAAATCTTCACAATTTCAGAACTTTCATGTGAATTTCCACATATTTCAAGCACTCTTCTCCACGAGATTATCACAGTTAGTTTAGGCTGTCACAAGTTTTGCGCAACACAGGTTCCGAAAATGTTCACAGCTGCGCACAAAACGCAGAGAATGGCTTCGGCTTTAGCATTTTTAGAGCGATACCACAAAGATTGCAATGAACTTCTCATTCATGTTATACGAGTGACAGGTGATGAATCCTGAGTTTCATTTGTGAATGTTGAATCCCAAGAGCAATTAAAGCAGTGGATGCATACACATTCACCAAACAAGTGGAAAATATTTAAATAGATATCTGCCAGAAAGCCGATGGCATATTTTTCTGAGACAGGAAAGGAGTGCTGATGGTGGAATTCCTGCAGCATGAGGCTACAATAACGTCAAAAATGTATTGCGAAATACTTAAACACTGTATACGGCCATACAGAAGAAAATGTGTGGAGTGCTGACATCCCTGCTCCTCTCTTGACCCTCCATATGTCATTATTCATTGCTCGGGGTATGTCCGCAATCGGATTTCTTATATTTTTCTTCTACCCTGAAGATGGAGGCGATACGTTCCTCCGAAACGTCGGTTAACACCACATTTACACGGTGCCAAATCCCAGAAGACTGCTTTCTTTATGACACAGATGTTTTCTGCTTTCCTCACGGGTAACTAGAATTCCAGTTGTTGCACTTCATTGTGTGTATATGTGAGGGATTAGGTGAGAAATAAAGTCACTTAAAACGTAACGCTTTCATATATGCGGGAGTTGTAATCACAGAAACTGGGCCTTTTTGTGTAAGCTTTGTGCATGTGCATATTTCTTTGCGGCTTACTTTACTGCCCTCTCAGTATCTTCACTACATGGCATCGAATTGTAGAAAGAGTGATGAACTGGAAAGGATTTCAAAGAAGGCAGTGGTGGCCTAATCTGTGTAATCTCCCGGCATTTGTCCGTAGGGATAAACTTCCGCCAGATTATGTGGTGTTCCAGCCGACATTGCAGATGTGTATGAATATATGCGTTTGAATAAAATAAAGGAAACAGTACAGATACTGTACACATATCTCTATCAGTATGGTGTTGGGCCATATTTTGCCTTACAGCCGTAGTCCTCCTTGGAATGGACTCGTACAAGTTTTGAGCAGTCCCTACCATTCTTCTTGAGGAACATCTTCAAGTTCCATTAGAAGTGTTGGAGGTGGGAATCCGTTCCACACTCTAGTCTCCAAAACTGACCACAGTGGTTCAATGATGTTCAAATGTGGTGACTAAGCTGACCAGGGAAGATGCCTTCACGGCCTATTACACGGATAGCTTTACTTTTTTCTTTTTACAGTGAATTTTGCAAAGTTGCAAAGGACCCTTTGGAAGCTACGGCATAGGCACGCTCCATTGGAGTGCAATTTTCTGTTCCTTTTCCACAGAAACGCACTGCAGCAACACATGAAAGTGCACACGGGGAAGGACTTCAAGTGTCACCATGAAGGCTGCATCTTTGCCTGCAGGTCCCAGGCCGAACTTCGGAACCACCAGCAGGTCCACTCTGACCAGCGTCCGTACCAATGCGACACGTGCAGCTACTCCGCCAAAACCAAGCCCCAGTTACTCAGGTGAGGCAGCTTGCGTTTCCTTTCTACTGGGGCAGTTTTTAATCAGGTAACACGCGTTCACTGTAGTAAATGGATGGACAATTATCTTGCCTCAGGGACCGGATAGTCTATACATAAAATTCCTTTAGTTATAACATTAATTATTTGCACTAACTCAATGGAGTTTATGGATATACCAAAAATATAAAAGTAATAGTAGTAATAATTAATTCTGCTGGGTTATTCTGCACTATATTTGAGGTCCTCAGTCCCTTAATATCCACATCAAAGGACGTTTTAATTGGCACTACTCTCTTCTATTATAATGTCGCGTGTTCTTTGTAATGTGACTATAGACGGGTTTTGGATTAATGATAGGATTTATTGGACTCTTTGATACAGCGCATCACTACACTTTTTGGATTCACTGTTACACATACACATTAGTGTTCGCAGATATGCCTTCACTAGCCGTTGCTAGGTTTCGGCTTTCAACATCGGACGCTCACTTTTCTCTGGGTTCCCGAACTGTCACAGGCCACAGCTACCAGCTTCTCACATCAACAGCGCACAACGACTGAACCTCAGCAGTTCTCTGACTGAATAACTCAGTCACTCACCAACCAACTAACAACTCAACTCAATTCAACTGACACCTGCTGACTAACTGTCCTGCTTATAGTACCTCGCCACGAACCCATTATTATTGCTGTGAAATTGTTGCTGTGGAAACATGATTGTTCGCGAAGCCGTTACTTAGTAACGGCTGTTGCATATTTGTTTATCTCGCGGTCGTTGCCCAGCAACGGGTCTACATACCACAGTACTTATTTGAAATTGTAGTAAATGATAATATCAGGATTTATGTAAGTTACTATGAATATCAAAATTTTAAAAATTCGAGTTCGTTATTCTTTTATTGAGGTACATTGCGTCTTCTTGTGGTTATAAAACTAACATTATATTTACACAATGCTTGAAAAAGGAAGGGTCTATAAAAGGTCGTTCATAATACATTATACTACGAAATTAATAATTGGGAACAAAATCAGAATATTTCCGTGGGTCAGACATATTGTCTTCATGGGGAACTTCCAACTCAAGAGTTGTACTCACATTTTGACGGCGCTTGTTGTGTCACATAAATTCAGGCGTCAGATGTGCTGTTTATGCGGATGGATCACAGAATTGAGTTTTCATAGCTGAAGAAAGGCAAGTATATAAAGTTTTCCAGGGGTTTGAGCAATTGGACACTGCGCCTTTATCCCCACACATGTGGACACACATACATTACAGATGCATACCTCGCTGACGTCGGACTTAATTTTAAATTCATACGAATCTCTTACTGTAAAGTACAAAACAGTATAATGTGGCGTGCCGCCAGAAAGTCGGAATGGTTGAGGAGATCAGGGTTGATTCCTAGGCGCTGGGCGACGTTCCCGCTACAACGCTACAATCGGAACGCATCCAACGGCTAGCAATATAACAGTGTATTTTCCACAGTTACAACAGACGGTATACTTCAATGGGAACGGATTTCCATTTTCGTTGCATAATAGCGGGCGAAAACCAAGGCCTCCTACGTGGTGCGCTCTATTCAGTCCGAGAGCACGTTATAAGAGTCCAGCTTCGACGAGAGCAGTCAGTTTGTAGTGTAGCTCCGACTAGAGCAGAAGCAAGCTCGCATCCGACAAAGGACAGAAGACACTTCACCGAGATCAGCGGTGCAAGTAATTGTGACAGTGAAGTTCTTAATCATTGTACTTGCGAGTGTAAAAAAGGTTGTCCAATAAATATTCGTTCAAATCCGGGAACCCACATAATTTCTTGTCGCGTTGCCTACCAAACGCGCGACTATATATTAAAATTTCACGACCGAGTCCAGATGGATAACTCACTGAGACAAGCAAGGAACGGCTATAAGCAGGGGGTAAGTTTGGAACGATCATGGGGTATGATTAGAATGATCAAACAAGGGTTGATAAGACATTTGTTTTAACTAAATCTGAAGGTGCCGGTCACGGTAGCCAGCGGTCTAAGGCATGCACTGTCTTCGCTGGCTTGTACACGGGGATCGTGGGTTCGAATCCCACTCAGAGCATGGATGTTTAGTTTGTGTGTGTGCGTTTTTCTGTGTTTGTGTACAGGTAGAGGCCTTGCGACGAGCTGATCACCCGCCCAAGGAGTCCTACCAAATGTGTAAGATCTAGAAAACCGAAATGAACGGAGAAGTTCATGGAGGTAGGCCTAGGCCCACTGGGGCTGTAGTGCCAAGGGAAAAAATCTGAAGGTAGAAGAAAGTGGGATGTCCTATACTGAGAGCAGAGGAACATGTAGAGAATGATTTACGGGAGCTGACATTAAATATATGGAGGCAGAAGGCATACAATAGAGAAGAGTGGACATATGTGAAGGTTCTTAGAGATCCGTGGAGTTAAGGAACTAAAAAGGTTGCAAATTCCATGCACCACAATTGTATCGGTTCATTATCCTATTTGACGTCGCTTTCTTAACTGCCTAAGTCATATAACATCGAATGGGGGTCAATGAGTTGCGAAGGCACTCTCCCAACATCTGTCTGTGGAACCTGCAACTGGCTACACAGTGACTAACAACAAAAGCATTATAGAAATATTCTTATGTTGTTCAAGGATGTGCTTTTAACTCCTGTGCTTATGCTGTGTCAAATGATGTTCGAGGATGATCATGAATTGTGAGTCGCTAAGACTCTAAAAGGGAGTTAGTCGTTGCCGGATTCAAGATATGAAGCCAACATTTTCATTTTCCTGCAGAGACTGCGGGAAACCATTAGCAGCATCATTCAGGATATCAGGCAACTTAAACTGGGACTTCCCGAATGACAGTGTGGATCATTACCAACATAGCAGCCTGCTCTGTCCCCAGCCTAATGTGGCAACATGTCTCGCAGTGCAGCAACAGCATGACATCCGCTCGAGACCTGCATTTAACTTTCTGTTTGAGAGCCAAAACTAATGAATCTTTGGAGCTATTCATATAAAATGAAGTGCGTGGATGTGCTCTAGCGTGTAGAGCAGCTGCTATGCAACGACCGCGAGATAGGCAGATATACCACTGCCGTTTCTCAGCAACGGCTCGATAAACACGTTCCCGCAGCAACAGACACGAACGCAACAGTAGAACTGTGTTTTCTTGTGGTCCATGCCGAGATGTTATAAGAAGGGACAAGTTTAGAACTTAGTTCTATATGGGAGTCTGTGAAGAGAGGACTTGAGCCCGTGAAGCTGCAGAATCTCCACTGTTAAAATCCGTTACCAGGAAACCGTCTAGTGAAGACACTGTAGGCTAAAGAAGATTTAGCTTGTAGTGATTTATAAAGTGTGGAAATCAGCCATAGTGTTACAGTTATTTGTAGTTACGACTTATAAGTGGCCAATAAATTCAATATCAAATCTAAAACCCAGTCTGTAGTCACCCCTACACGTGACAGTATCATAATTGCAACAAAAAAGAAAAACAAAACTCTGTGGCCTGTAGTCCCCAAGCGAACTATACTGACCGAGAGACTGCCGCTTGTCGGAGAAGTATCATAATTACACACAACATTATATTTGTTTCCTTTTGCATCTTAAACGTCACAAACATGGTGATTGTGCGAAATTGTTGGGTTACATAAAACCACTTAAAGTCGTAGAAAATAAGCAATGGATTGGAAGCACAGAATTTTGTCCTTAAGTCTTCCAATGAAACCGTAAGTTTTCCTCTGCATTTAAGTACCACCTCGTAAGGACATAGGGGACGTGGATATAAACTTCTACGAATTCTAGACGTTGAAATGGGGGTGAGTGATCAGTTTCACCCTCCAATCCCCTTACCCACGGGGAAATATCCCGTTTCCTAACCACCTCCCTTTTGGTAGAAGTCTTAAGTCAGCCGCAGGGTCTGTCTGGTGGCAAAGTGAAGATTGAAGAATTTCTGACCCTGCTGGAATCGAACTCCAGCTGTTCAGCCCATGGCATTTTCTATATAGATTTAGATACCGTATGTGAAGTAGGTGATAACAATTTGTTCCCAGCGCTTCTTGTCATTTGTTGCGGTCACAAATATATGCATTACATTGGGCACGAAACCAGTGGATCACCTTGCAAGAATGGCTGATGTCAGGAACTGGCGGTCTGACTTCAGCATTTCTTGACTGCCAACATAAAATGGCAAAGGTGTAAACTTCACATATAAGTAGCCATGGGATTATAGTTTCACATTGCTAAATAACTTGCTAAACAGCAGTTACTCTTGCAATTATATTTACTTTTACCCATCTGCCTACCTACTAATCTGTTTACAAGGGATATCCTTCAGTTTCATTCTCACCGTCCATGTCGGCGAAGTTAGTGCCAACTTTTGCGGATAGATGGTGTCGCGTGGTCAGCGCAACGGATCCCCACGGCCGTTAATTTCGGTTTTCTAGACCGGAGCCTCTAACAGAAATTAGTACCAGGAATTAATTAAATAATTTTCCTGGGGAGTAAAGTGCGGCCGGCGCGTAAGGCTGACAACCTTACCGCCATCTTTGAGCCGATTGTCTAGATAATGTGGGAGCCTCAACGTCTCACAACCCTATGGGCCTTCACCGCCTTGTACGAGGATAGCTTTACTTTACTTTACTTTACTTTTATCTGAACTACCCTTAGTTTCTCTCGGAAAGATCTTTGGTCCTTTTAGTAAATGTCTTATTGTCACATCCACCTAGGAAATTCGCATGACCACCAGGTAGATTTTGATGATGGCTGGAAGTTTTAAATCTAAACGTAGATTTGCCTCTAGTGGCGTTATATTTGTAAGAACCTTCCACAGATTCCAAAAACTGAGATACATTAGGGCATGACGCAAGGCCAAGATGATCTGGACAGACAAAACAAAAATGCAGCCTTTGTTCTTTATATGCATGCGCGGTAGTGAGGATTCATTTTGCAGTTATGAAAGGACACGAGGAAGAGACGTATATATTTGCCGAAAAATTAATTCTTTCGGGGCACGTGGTTTATATTACCGATCGACATTTATCTTCCGTAGCGAGGAAAGTTTTAATGTCAAGGTTGCCTTGAAGTACAAACCACGTTGTAAGCGTGAATCCGACCTTGTGGCCTGAGCACCGTGCCTTGGCGTGAGGGGAACCAGCGGACATGAGGTGGGACTAGGTTCAAATACACACTGCTTGGAAATAGCCCGTCTGGATAAAGTAGCGAACAGAAAACTCCCCGCACTTACCAGGAATTTTCTCCCATGTGTGGCCTCTGTGGTCTAGTGGTCAGAGTTCCTGGCTACAGATACAGAGGTCCCGGGTTCGATTCCCGGTGCTACCTGAAGTTCTCAGAAGTGGCGGGTTTGGAACGGGGTCCACTCAGCCTCGTGAGGATAACTGAGGAGCTACTTGAATAGAAAATTAGTGGCTCCGGACTAGAAAACCGAGATTAACCGCCGTGGGATCCGTTGCGCTGACCACGCTGTACTCTTTATACGCAAAAGTTGGCACTAACTTCGCCGACAAGCGGCGGTCGCTCGGTCGGTATAGTTCGCTTGCGGAGTGTGGCCTGTTTACTTGTCACAGGATGTGACCTAGCCTATAGGCCATACTACCGCCGCGATCTCATGATCCATCATGTCAGCATTCAGCGCCCTTCTCCTGGAAACAGCATTTGCCTACAGGCCCGTGTTTTCGAATTTTACTAGCCATTGCCAAACTCTGCTTTGCTATTGTGTCACGTGACGATTCTTTCCGCCTCTAGACATCCTCTCCCGCAATCTAGCCGCCGCGAGCTTGCGACTGCCCACCACCACACCTGAAGACGGCTTGAATATTTGACAACTCTGTAATATCCGCCCGTGCTCGGTCTTCATACATCGCACGCAGGCGTGGCCACGGATCTCACGCGGCTATTGTTAGTGCAACGTCTGATTTCCCTTAAGGCCTCTGGCTTGCCAAAGGAACGCTGCACACCAAGTCTGTAGGTTTTCTCATTTTGCCCACAGGCACCACACGGTGCACCTGATGCAGAAGCCCCACCAGTGCCCGCATTGTCCCTTCGCTGCCAGGATGGCGTCACATCTCCGACGGCACCTTCGTTTGCACACTGGAGCCAAACCATACCGCTGTCCCTACTGCCCTTATGCGTGCAACATTCTTGTAAGTATTGTTGTGGCCGGCTGACAAGAGACAGCCTTCACGCTTTTTGATTCACAGTTCCTCACCCTACAAATTCTAAGCACGTTTTGGGTTTCATTTGTGCTGTCTTTCCGGTTTTTTGCGTAATGTAAAGCATTAATTTTAGGTGCCTCAATAATAAATCTTACTTTGAATGAAGCCCAAGAATATCTTTATTAAATCACCCATAACTGCTTATTCGACAAAAAAGATAATACAAAATTCAAAATAGCCATAACATTAAGAAGTACTAATTGTGTTTCAAGCATTTATTTGATATGGTGAATAATGTGGATCCATGGAAACAGCCATTTCTAGGTAACAGCTCTGTAACACGCAACAATGGAGTAAATGTTGGAAGCAATGTTTTCTGTGCTGTCCGTTCCGAGGTTTTATAACGAGGACCGGGCTGACCACGCGACATATATCCGCTAAAGTTGGCACTAACTTCGCTGACAAGCGGCCGTCGCTCGGTCGGAATAGTTCGCTTGCGGACTCAAGCCACGGAGTTTGCTTTTGATTTTTTGTTTGTCATTAGAATTAATAAGTAGAACTCATCCCCTTCATATTTATTCGTAAAGAACCGAAGATGAGGTAAACCCCCTTTTTTAAGGAGCAATAATTGGAAAAAGAGCTTCGCCTTATATTCGTCCCAATTCGCTAGTTTCATCTATAATTTGCGTTATGTAAATTTTATGATAGTAACATATATTTTCAGGGCCGCGCCATAGCTCAAGGGGTTAGTCGCTGGCTTCCCACCGCGGCGGCCCGTGTTCGATCCCGGGTCTACTCAAGTGGGATTTGTGGTGGACAAAGTGGCGCTGGGGCAGGTTTTCTCCGAGTACTTCGGTTTCCCCTTCCAATCTTCATTCCACCAATTGCTCCACAATCACACTCACCTATCATCTGGGGCTGGTACAATAGGCCAGAAGTGGCCGCAGTACAAGGGACTTATTCGCACCCCACTAGCATTATAAAAAAAGGCATATATTTTTAAGAAAATCGACAATTTGGTGTTTGAGCTTTACTAAACTATAGATAAATTGTTCAGCACGAACGAAAATTAAATTATTCCGATAGTTTTAACACATATATTGAAATTTCATGAAAATCCTTTCGGTCCTTACGGATATGAAACATGTGAAGGAACAAGCTGCCCAATTTATGTTTCCTGTACCAAGAACGGACATAAGTACTTGACCGTCAGTGTGGGTGTGTCCTGTCCCTGACTTGTCTGCTTGCACGTGTATGTGGCCACGGCCAGTTTGTTCCAGCCAAATACAAAGAACTAGATGTCTCCTGTTTGTCCATTATGTGGAGTATCCATCAGTCGGAACCCACGCGCTGGTCAAGCAGCTCTGTACATAATTTAACCAATACATTGATGAGAGCGCCTCGACGTAGAGACTGACTCATCAATGAAGTAAGTGGCAGGCTGAAAGCGAGACAAGACGTGTGGACTTGCTTTAAGAATATTCTGACTCTTGAGAGAGTGACAGGGACTCTGCACCCGTTATCATTATCCAAAACGGCTTTACAGCTCAGTCAATAACGTGAATGGGTTCGATTCTGGCCATGAGCAATAATTTTTAACCTTACCTTCACGAATATACAACCAATAAATACAAGTTCTAAGCAATGGTAAGCATTGAAAATATCAACGGATGACAATCGTTGCACAATTAATGACCAACAAAATTCAGAAGGGGTTATTGGGAATGAAAGAAAGAAACTCCGTGGCCTGTAGTCCGCAAGCGAACTATACCAACCAAGCGACCGCCGCTTGTCGGCGAAGTTAGTTGCAACTTTAGCGAATAGAGGGTGTCACGTGGTCAGGGCAACGAATTCCCACGGCCGTTAATTTCAGTTTTCTACACCGGAGCCGCTATTTCTTTGAAACAGCTCCTCAGTTATCCTCACGAGGCTGAGTGGACCACGTTCCAGACCCACTACTTCTCTACTTAGTTCGCCAGTTTTTCCTTCCTCCCGCTCCAACTTTAGAGCATATAGGGCTCATTTCTCAGCTTCGTTGATCATTTTTACAGACGGTAGGACTCCTTGGACGGGTAATCAGCTCGTCGCAAGATCTCTACCTATACTCACAACACAAACACAGAATAAACGCATAGGCACACCAAATATCCATGCCTTATGTGGGATTCGAACCCACGATCTTGGCTTCCGAGCGAGCCAAGACAGTTCATGCCTTAGACCAATCAGCTACCGTGACAGATGTCGCCAATTTGGTAGGCTGTTATCTGGTAGGTTAGCGGACCGCGAAGTTACTTTGTCTGCCCGTCACTCAGTGTAGCAGGTAAGTAAATGCTTTGTTCATTAGTTGCTATTTCATTCAATGAACATATCAGGTAGCCAGTATCTCAGTCGCTTAGTGACTTTGTCAGTTATTCAATCAATGTCTGACATAGCCCTGTATGATTGTGACTTCATATCACACTATCGAGTCATTGTATTTACTTATATGAGAACGAAACCTGAGCATAAGTGCAGTGTTAAGTATCAGTGAATTTATGATTACGTCACTCTGGAAGGGGGAGAGTCCCTTTCTGTGCCGTAGAGTTGCGTAATCTGTTCAGCGACAGGCCCTGCAGCACTTCTCGCACATTGCGAGATATGGCACAGGAGCTGAACTGCAGTGGCGTCCATCTTGTGTTGAAAGCAACAGGAGGAACGGGGAACAACCGTCTGCCGGCGGGAGCCATGTCGCTTACGTGTGTGAAAGTAAATTCAATTTTAAAATTATTAACCAATTTTAAACGATGAGATTTATAATAAGTCGGGTAGAAATGCATGACCGCGGATGATGGTTTGAAAATGCAAAGTAGAGGCAGGATTCCTTTTATCATCGCGTCTGCAGACGTTTGAGCGGTGTGAAGAGAACGTGTCTGGCGGCTTTCAGCAGCGCATTTCGCGTACTTTATTGTCACTCTCATAATAACTTAAAGAGATCTAAGCAGACGAGAGAAAATTGGATAGGAAAGCTGTTATAATGAAAACAGAATGGCACTATGTTTTCAAAGTTTCCCATATCTGCTAATTTTGGAAAAACTGAATAAGAAATGTATTAAAGAAATTCACATCCAGCCATGTGCCCTATCCGAAACAAGAATCAGCAGGCGTACTCTAATGCAGTACACATACTTTAGGAACCGTTTTTCGTCATTTTTCTTATCGCATTGGCCTTGATGTCTGTCTGTTGAAAATACGAGCTTATGGTTGCTGTACAGTCGCAGTACAGGTAACGCACTACATACTATAGACAGGCACTGTTTTCCTCATGCTTCATTAACTGTGCATTAACATCTCAAGCAACACTTGCAGAATATAACGAGATCTATACTTTCTACTCGCCTGAAGTGTAGACTTTTCTATTGCAAAGTTAGACTTGGGCTTTATGTAATGTAGGTTTTGCATTGCCATGTTAGGCGGGTCCCTTGTCACCACGGCATGGCGCGTCCTCAGGTTGAGGATGGAGGAGACGGCCTCCAGGTATGGAGGGTAACTGGGAATAAATATAATAAGCAGTAACGGACAGCCGAGAAGGGGTGGTCCTCCAGCTTGGGGGTTGGGCGTGGGGCTAACAGCTCCTCACCCTAAAAAAATAAGCTTGTTACGAAAGATCACGAGAAGCCTCGGACCTGCACGGATAATTTGTATAAACGGCATAAGCGAAAGAAAATGTATATGAGATTTTGTACTTGGAATGTACGAAGTATGTATAGGGCAGGTTCGCTCAGGGCAGTGGCGGAAGGAATCTTAAAATATAAGTTAGGTTTAGCGGGAGTATAGGGGGTCAGATGGGATGGAGGTAGCATCGCACCAGCAGGACACTATACACGTACATTTTTCTATAGAAAGGGGGTTGAAAATCATGAATTAGTTACAGGTTTTTTCATACATAAGATAATCGTATCAGCAGTAAAGAGGGTAGAATTCGTTAGTGATAGGATTTCATGCATAACACTAAGAGGTCGCTGGTGTGAAATCATCGTTCTGAATGTCCATGCACCTGCAGAAGATACAGTTGATGATATAAAGGACAGGTTCTATGAAGAACTAGAACATGTATTTGATAAATTCTGTTAGGAGATTTCAGTGCCAAAGTAGGGAGGGAAGACATTTCCAAACCAACGACTGGGTATGAGAGTTTGTACGAAATTAGTAATGATATGGCGGTAGAGCACTAAATTTTGTCACATCTAAAAATATTATTTTCAAAATTACCATGTTCCCACATCGTAACATTCATAAACGTAATTGGACATCTCCTGATGGGAAGACACAATCAAATTGATCATATTTTTATAGACAGGAGACGGCAGTCAAGTATACTTGATGTCCAATCATTCAGTGTAGCAGATTGTGATACTGACCACCATCTGGTGGTGCAAAAGTTAGGGAGACACTAGCAGCGAGTAAACAAACAGCCCACAGATTTAATATGGTGGGGTTCAATCTCAAGAAATTAAACGAGGTAGAGGGTAAGGAGCAGTATCGTGTCGAAATCTCAAGTAGTTTCGCAGCTTTGGAAAACGTGGACACTGAAGTGGATAGTAATAAAACTTGGGGAAATATTAGAGAGAATATCAAAATTTCAGCCAAAGAGAATCTACGAAGAATTCTCAAAATTGTTATGTCAAAGAAAACAAAGACAGATTGCAGTGGTTAGCCGGTCCAAGTGAAATAAACGTAGATAACATGAAGAGTTTAAGACGTGAAGCCAGCACGCGTTTTTGGAATAAAATGAAAAATATCTGGAAATCCAAAGTAATGAGTTTGCAAACAACAGTAAGAACAAAAATATTGGAGACTTGTATAGAGGAGTAAATACATGTAAGAAGGGTTACCAACCCAGAAGTACCCTAGTGAAGGATGAGAATGGTGATCTGCTTGCAGATTCCTACAACATTTTGAATAATTGGAAGATCTACTCTCTCAGTTATTGAATGTACATAGGGTCAGTG